ACACACACACACACACACACACACACACACACACACACACACACACACACACACAAACACACACACCTACAAAGATAGACATCCAGCAGTGATGGGGAAGTGTTTCAAACATGGGTCTTGATGTTTCGCAGAGGTGCAAGTGTGTATGCACGTGTGTGATTGTGTGTGAGTGTGAGTGTCCATCCCCACAGGAATATCACACATGGAGCAGAGGTGTGACCCATGTCTCCATTCCCCATATGCTCTAAACACATGCCCCAAAGCATTGTGTGTCAAGGGGGTTATGATGGTCCCTTGGTGTTTGACTGGCTTCAGCCCAGCTGATAACCAGGTGGGGCCCAGCTCCCCTTTCATAAGAATATTATGCCCCCTCCTCTTTATCCCCTAACACCAGCAATGAGTCCAACTCATGTGTGTATTCCCAAAACAGCCTATTGATGTCTGGGTTACACCATGCATTCAGCTGTGTAAAATCAACAGAAGGATTAAACACCAAATTACTGAGATTTACTGAGCCTGCAGAGGCCCCACCTTTTCTCCTTTTCTGTCGCTACGCATGTCTCTTATTCTTTGCCATAACATGTTTCTCTATTTCTGGCCTCACTATTCATCTCTTTTATTATTTTTTGTTTATATTTCATGTCTCCTCGTCCTTTTCTTGATTTTTCTTTCAGTCTCCTTTTCTATCATTTCCTGCTCTGTGGTGCTTCCCCAAATCAAATTCCCAGTTACTCCTGGCTCTAAGCCCAAATCAATTTGTCTTCATAATGGACAGACATACTGGCTGGTTAGTGCTTTACCTGGGCAGCAGTCAAGGAAGAGAGGAGGCCATAGTATTAATGTTTAGCACCTTATAATATAAAACCGCTGTTACATTTTATGTTTTTTGGCTTAAATTTTTTCTTCCAAATTTAAGAGAGCTGTAAATCTCAGAGACAGAGTTAGCTGCGGGCGATTAGAGCTGTTAAACACTGTTTAAGACTGGAGCACAACAAAGTGGAGAGAAATACACTGACACAAACATAGGACACCACAGCATCCAACAAGACCCACACATGCACACAAACACACACACTTGCAGCAAACCCCCTGTGAGGTCTGTAAAACAGAATAAGTCTAACACTTCCTCGCGGCTGGACGCTAGGATTGAATTGATCAATTCGTCAATATTCTGCTCTGTCCGTTGAACTGACCTGCGCTGCAGGGTGTGTGCACAAGGGGGATGGGAGAGGACATAAAAGTGTGTGTTTATGTGTGTGACCCATTATAATGTTAGAGGCATTGGTTAAAGGCCAGAGGGGTGACTAAAAAAAGGAGAGGGGTGCTTTAATGCAGGGGTCTGCCTCTATGGGGACATCTGTGACACACACACTTACACACACACATTTATTCACTCACTCACTCATCCTCAGGCATAACAGCTCAGAGGGAAGTGTGGAATCGACAGAGAAAAAGAGGAATAGTTTGTTTTTGTTTTTGTCTCCTCCAGGCTTGTCTTAGATAGAGGAGTGAGGCGTGCAGAGAAAAAAGGAACTATCTAGTTGTTCATACACACCGCTGTCGGCTGTGCACAGAGGGGTTTGGGACTTTTCTGAAAATGTTATACAGTAGATTTTAATAGAGAACACACAAGCAATGGAAATCATGTGATCCTCCATATAGGAAGAAAATATTGTTGTGCAGTATATGTGCTTGAACAACAGGATAATCTTCCACCTTTGTGTTTCTTTTCAGGCACTGTGGATATATCAAAGCCAAGCAGGACCCCGATGAGGAGAAGATGCAGTTCCAGCACGGCCGAGGTGAACACACAAACAAGTGCATTCATAAAAATGGAAACACAAGCATTCACGCATACACATACATAAAGTCTAGAACATGGTCCAATAAAAGGTTCATGTCTTTGTATTATTGGTCACATTAAATCCCATTAGTTTTGGTTTCACATTGCAATAAGGAGAGTGCACTAAAGGCTTTTGCATGGCATACTTGGTTTGTAGTGATACGTTCATCGTGCAAGTTCCCATCAGGGGCTTGTTGTGCATTTGGCCTTGTACTCGCTAACTTTGTGGAATAAAGTGCACAGAAATAAAAGTTGTATTTCTGCCTGAATAGAAAAAATTACTGGTTCACTTCGTTAATTTTATTGTCGCTGTAATATCATGAGGCTGTTACTCCCAAGAAAGTGAATGTCCTCGATATTCAATTTTATAGTAGAAGAAGAGTACAAACAGTGAGCTGTTTCTGCTTCTATTTCCTCTATCGTTTAATGCTGTCTCAACTTCCTGCAATTGTGCCGAAGGTCTGATCAAACGAACCAAACCATAGTTTGTTTCTTATCCCCCCCGACACACACACACACACACACACACACACTCACATAACGTCTCTTTAGCCAAACCTCACACCCGCCTGCACTGAATCACAGCACTGACTGTATTTATGGCCGTAAACAACAGACACAAGGATGAATATTTTTTCGTTTTTAACTCAGCTGAACACTTCAGGAGCAAAAGCACTCTGAAAAAATGACTGTTCACAAACAACACTTATACTTCGTTTATACACTTTCATATGCATCATAGGTACTTACACAGTTGCAGCTTATATCATAGCACTTCAGCGAGTCTCTAACTCTGTATCACCCTGAATAAACCACATTGCTTCACACTTTCATGCACAAATGTTTTCTGGCAGACAGTGTTGGCCCTTATGTGCTCCTGTTAAAATTATGAGTCATTTTAACAACATTGCTAACATAGTAGTTATGTGTTTTATTATGTAATGATTTGTAATGTCACTCAAACACAGCACCCACGTTCAAGCTCACATTTGCACAAACAGAGCAGGAATCGGTGTCAGCTCCGGGAGAAAAATTATTCCTTATCCTTTATTCTTTAATAACCTCCTATTATGATAGTATTAACTTTATTGTCCTTTAATTATAAATACTGAGTCAAAGCTGAAGAGTTTATAATTCATTTAGCCATAACCTCTCATCTCGTTATTTCTCCACTCCTGAAGTTAAGCTTCCAGGCAGCAGGACCTACATCCATCCTCACACCTACGAAGACCCCAACCAGGCTGTTAGAGACTTTGCCAAAGAGATCGATGCTTCCAATATTCGCATAGAGAGAGTCATCGGAGCTGGTGAGTTGGCAATAAAACAGCAGTGGGCTGTATTAATAACTCAAAGGAGTATTAAAAATTTAACTTGTGAATTCAAAGAACTTTAACTGTGGTTCATTTCAGGGATTCCTTTCAGGCGCATTTACATGCATGGACAGTCTACATTATTTCTGGCAACTAATAAATAATCATCTAAGGAGCACCTGCAAATTCAACTATTTTAGTCATTTCAAAATAATGTTTCATAAATACAACACTTCTCCCTGTGTGTAGGAGAGTTTGGGGAGGTGTGCAGTGGTCGGCTGCGTGTGCAGGGAAAGAGGGAGATCTACGTGGCCATCAAGAGTCTGAAGGCGGGATACTCTGACAAACAGAGGAGGGACTTCCTGTCTGAGGCCTCCATCATGGGACAGTTTGACCATCCGAACATCATCAGGCTGGAGGGCGTCGTCACGAGATGTGAGTCTTACAAAACGACACCATGTGTGGTTTGTGTATTTCTCTGGATGTGTGGTGTAATAATGGTGTGCAAGTGTGTGTGTATCACACATACATATGTGAGACACAGCAGAGCTGTTGGCGATGTTGGTGGTAATCCTTGATCAGATAAAAGCTCCATTACCATGGTAACAAACTGATGACGCATGGCAGTGTACATGTGAGTGGCGACCATCTGCAACTCAAACAGCCACTTGTTTGCTTCACATGATTGCGTTAGGCAATTAGAGAGAGTTTTTGTTCATGTAGGTGAGATAGACACAGGCCTGGTTCGACAAAAGAGCTGATTTGTTATCGTAGGGTCTCGCTCTCTCGATCTCACACACACGCAGACACACACTATCACACTATCCTGCTGTCCTCCAATGTCCCTATCACACTTTCCTTTCTCTCTTAGTCAGTGTCCATCTAATCTCCTTGTTCTCCCCTTCTCTCACTCTATTGCTCTCACCAAATCCCAGAGTACATCAACACTAAGCCACCTAAACACATCCTTTTCACCTGCTGGTTTTCATCCCACATCCACACTAACACAGCACACGCGAGCTGTGTGTGCTTGTTTTGACTTCTTTTGTTGATCCAATCTCAAAGAACACCGGAGCTTTTACAAAATTGGACAAAGAAATACAGAGGAAACAATAGACAGTCACTATGAGACCAAAATGCAAAGCTTGGTTTGTTATTAGTTGATTGTTATTAGTTGAGAGATAGCAGCAGATAGATTTTGTGGAACAGATTGGAAAAATGTTGCATTATAATCATCAACCCTGAGTAAAGTTTTCACTGTGAAAAAACACCCACTTCTTAGGTCATCCACACTGAAACAATCTCCATCAACACAAGTGTTTTACTTCCATAACAGAAGTAATCCCTGTCCATACTAAGACACTTTCAGGCTCTAAAAAACATCACAGTAGTGGGGAAGGCAGGTTTACTTTTTGTCTCTGTTTATCTGACAATGCCTGACATTGTGCATGTGACACAAGTCTGGATTATTCCCTTCCAAAACCGGACTTTTTGAAAATAGTATATCAATCAAGAGTCAGAGCTTTAGGAAATAATTATGTGAGGCTGGATGGTCACGGGCTGTGAGGCAAAGTAATTCATTATTCGATCCCTAATTTTAAGCGTCAAAACAAAGCACACACACAGCAGTATGTTTCAGTGCAGCAGCACCTCGTTAACACATGTTGAACTTTTAATACCTGCGAAAACCAAAATCAAAACCCTGCTTTCTGCTCATTCTGACGACAGAGAGACGCGTGTGTGGACATGTAACCTTTTCGGGCATAAATTGTGTTTTCACATCAGCTGGCCTCCCTTCCCTCGTATTCACCTTCCTCACAGCCACTGGTCTGACACCTTGTTATGAACTTGTTTGCCAGGAGATCTACAGACAAGCAAAAAGGACAGAGAGACTTGGTACAAAGATATAGAAATGTAAACATGCAGGTAGACAAATAAACCCCTGTCTCCCTGCTTTCTCCCTCTGTCACATGCGCACATACGTGACACACGCTGGTTCTCAGTGGCACTTAGGCCAACAACAAAAGAGCAAATGCATATGCATGGGCTTTTATCATGAATATTAATAATTCATAAAGTTAATTGGATGTGTTTTTTAGCCTCATGAATATTCAGCAGCAGGCATATTAACAATGAGACCCCTCTGCATTTCTTATTCATTTTCTTTCCTCTGTCATCCTCTCTCTCTCACTCTCTCTCTCATTGTCGAAATGATGCTTGATGGTTAATGACCGTGACCTTTGGTTCGCAGGATTGGGGCAGTTTGCAGAAGTAATGCATCAACAAACAAATGGGTTTGTTTTATTCTGACAGGCCAACGTGTAATTATGGCACTTCCTTTCTCCTTTTAGTGGCACACTCTATTCTGATTCAAAATACCCCAATAAATGTACAAATTGCTGCCAAACGCTGTACATTTTGTGACAGGGGACAATAGCACAGCTAAACTGCAGAAGCCTGACTTGACAAGCAAATTTCTTCAACAGAACAAGGAGCTCTTAACTTCTCTGTTTTCTGTGATTAAAAAAAGATGTGTGTCTGCTTTGTGTTTGTGGCGTATGCATGTAATGAGCATCGGTGTCTACTTCTACATGCGTTTCTTTCTGTGTCTCTCCTCTCACCTGTCTTCACGGCACATTGAGAAGCTGATAGAGCTCCTCAGAAACAAATCTCACTAGTGGAGCAGTAATTTCACAGGTCACAGCCCAGGGTGTGTATGTGCGGGCGAGGGGGTGAGAGTTGAGATGGGTCAATAATTCCTTCAGGCTTTTTTTTCTCTCTCTAGCACCAGCTGGTCCCTTCACACCACCCTCAGTCTAATCAGGCAGAATGACCCTGACTGCTCTGGGCTCAGGTGTTGGACTGGTTTGTGCGAGTGGGAGCAGCAGTAAGATCAGCAATGGCAGAAATAACTCTTGTAGTAAAATCAGCCCTAGTAGTAGTAGTAGTAGTAGCAGTAGTAGTAGTGTTTTGTGTGATGATTAATCCAAAACCTAAAGCTGTTAGTTTCGTAACACTTAAGCAGAGATGTTCCAGATACCAGCGATGCTGAAAATGCAGGGTCGGGCATAGACAGCTAAGTGAATCTATTGATCCAAAACCCACGTCTTTGAACTATATAAGTCTCACCCAGATAAAACTGAAATTCCTTTCCCCGACACCACTTTTTCTTTGCTGCTACAAAACAGCAATTGCAGCAGTTGCGCTTTTTAATAACAGTGAAGAGGAAGTTATTCTGGTCGTGTAACCTTAGCCAGAGATAGCCAGAGTATTTTATGCTGGAAGCCTGTGCAATATTCAGTAGGGGTGGCAGTAGTGTTGCCGAATACAACACTAGCAATGTCAGAAAGCATTTGAAGAATCATCACATGAAAGAGCACTAGGAGTTGAGCCAGGCCATACAACAATGATAGCAATCATCACTTCCATACAGGGTTAGTAGCATTCAGCTGTTAACATAGTTATACAAGTTCCTATTTTCTTAAATGGACTGATATTGGATCGGTACTTGGTTCAGGTATTTGATTCGGTAACGGGAAGCGAACAATGGTAATGGAGCATCTCCATAAATAAGACAAAGAAAAGACGCACCTTTGCACATTTGAAGAGCTGGAACGCTACATCACCTGGAACAGAACAGGAAAACACATACACTCTACAAAACAGTGACCACTCCTGAGTCCAGTTCTGGATGCCAAGTTTCAAACAGAATCTGTTTAAAGAACTCATTCATCCAATCTTCCATCAGTACCACTGTCTTTACTGTTAGTTGTCTGCAACTGTACGATGTATTTATATGATGTGCACTATTTTGCTGAATGTTGTATGATGCAGTAGCTCGGAGCCCAAGACAAATTTGTCTTTGGGACAATAAAGTGGACCTTAAGTAAGTAAGTTATCTATATAGCACCTTTTCAAAACCTAGGTGCTTTACAAGGATAAATGATTAAGCTAAGATAAAAGATTAAACATTTGAACAACAGTACAACAACATAACAGTTAAAAAAAGGTTGCCTTATCTTGCATGGACATATTCAGATTAGTAAAAACTCTAAGTAAAAAGTAAAAAGTCTGTGGCAGGAAAAAGTCCAAATGGTCTGTGGGGTTTTCTGCAGATTCCCCAGTGAGATGTGACTGTTTTCAAGCTGTGCAATTATCCAAACAGTCAATTAATTAAAATAATCACTTCAGCTCTGAAGCAGAACAGTGCAGGAAGCAGTAATGATAGTGGACACTAGTAGTTGTTGTTCTTGTTGTTGTGACAGAAAAAGTTGTAAAAGTAACACTCAGCATTGTAGTATTTGTAGTAGCAATAAAAGAACTAATGGTTGTATTGGCATGAATTACTTTTGGATGTCTGCATGCCATTTGTGTGTGTGTGTGTGTGTGTGTGTGCGTGAGTGTGTGTTTGCACTTGCTTTTATATCCAAGAGGGGACTTAAATACACACTAACCCATCAGGACTCAGCATAAAAACCACATAAGCCTCAAGCCCCCACCATGTGCCACTCTAATAACCTACTCCCTTGTCTGTCACCTGATTGTTGCTATTGTCATGCTAATTAGAGTGCCACATGCGGAAAAGGAGGGAAAAAATAGATCTTTTCTTTATCTGTCTCTCTGCACATCAGGAGGGTGCAGCAATCTGCCCTTCGTTCCTCCCACCCTCCCCCTTCCTCCACTCCTCCATCCCCTTATCTTCCCTTCATCTCCCCGTCCCTCATTTTATCCATCCGTCCTTTATGTGTTTTACAATCACTGCAACAATCGGCTCATTTGGAAAACCCTCAATTACCAAGCTCTATCTCATCTGCCCACTTTGCACACACAAATGCTGCGCACGCACACACACACACACACATGCACACACACGTGGAGTTACACATTTGCCCAACAATTCAGATTTTGAATATGTATGCAGATCTTGAGACAAATGAGCAAGAGGAGGGGAAAGTGGAGTAAAAGGTGACGATAGGAACGGGATGTAGGGGGACAAGGGGGGAGATGGATGGATGAGATAGGATACAAGAGTGAGGAAATGAGAGAAGATGAGGCTTGAGAACAAATGAGGGCGAGAGGGGGGAAAGATGTGTGCGAAGATTTGAGGAAAAGAGGGGCAGATGGATGAGGGTAGAAATGGCGAAGAGACAAACGTGAGGAAATGAGTGGAGAAGAAGAAGCGATGGGGGTGGAGGGTGCGGTGGGTGCTGGGGATAAGGTTATTGAGTTTCTGTCTCCCTGTTTCTACACACCCCCGCATCCTCACATGGCACTTCCCAGAACAGAGATCTGTCCTGTGTTAAAAGCATTGTATCATTTAGTTCAGACCTTTAACATTAATCAATACAGCAGTTATTTCATTTTCTCGTTTGTACCTTGGGTTGCCTCATTCTATAATGTGGTAATGTGGCCCACCAGTGCGCTCGCTCGCTCACTTGCTCACACACACACACACACACATGCAGTGATAGAAACTAGATGTAATTGTCCAGATGTATATGCAGTCTACCACTTTTGTTACATCCATACCAACACACAACCAAACAACCTCTCATAATGAAACTATTAACTTTCATGCACATATACAATAATTTACACACACAACTGTTTGTACTTCTATCTTAGTGAGGACACTCATTGAGATAATACAGTCCATAGCCCTTTACCCTAACCTTAACCATCTAAATTAAATGCTTAACCCTAATCTAATTCTAAACCCTAAACCCAAGTTTTAACCATCAAACAGTCCATTGAAAAAGTTGGGTCAAAATGTCCTCACTGTCCAAAAATGTCTTCAGGGTCTATGCTTGAAATGGTCCTCACAAAGATATAAGTACAGGCACACACACACAGGAGGCCGAAATGATCGGAGCTTTACCCTGGATAAAGCAGAGGCATCACTTTCTACCTTCACTTAATGAAGAGCTGTAAAAGGGAGCAAACTCCTCTCTGATCCATTCCATAACACACTCCACCTGGCAGAACATCAATACCCAATCTGCACACACACACAAACACACACACACACACAGAGAGAATCAGTGGTGGTTTTAGCAGCTGTGTGTTATTCTGAAGACAATGAGAGGCAATACATTGCAATGAATGTGAATGTGATTAGTTAATTATGTGCTTTCACGAGGAAATTGAGGAGCGCTCTTCTGAATGTTTGAGCTCCACTATGAGCCGGAGAGGCTTCATCTTGCCAGTGAGTGTGTGTCTGAAGTGTGGGTAATGTGTGAAGAAGTCATAACAGGGAGTAAAAGGGGTTCATTGTTTTGTTGAGAGAGTGTGTGTGTGTGTGTGTTTGTGTGTGTGTGTTTGCACTGGCACCTGACATCGAGACAGAATGAGCTAATATACAGCGTGAGTGCATGTGGTCTGGTATATTGGTAACTTCTGTTATCTTTCACAGTTGCAGGGATAATCTTGTATGGCAGGTGTCTAGATGGTGGCTGGTGATAGTGTGTGTGTGCGTGTGTGTGTGTGTGACTACATGCCACGCTCACATGCTCCTCCTCTAAGCCAAGACAACAGGATAAATGTGTTTCTCTCGACTGCATGCAACACTGAAGGTAATATTCTCAGTCCTTGATAACATACATAGGCATACATACACACTCACACACGGTAAAAGGTAGTTTTTTAATACCTCTTTTTCATGTCATGGCCGTCTACTTATGTCTACTTATGTCTACAATATGACATTAATGCCTGGCTGCTCTGTATGGATACGCAAAGATACACATAGAACAACATACATGAAACACAATTAAGCGCACACACACACACACCGAGAGGAGATCAAATTGTAAGTTAAAGTGAAAAAACAGTTTTTGTAGTGTAAAACCACAATAATGTGGTTTGTAAGATTTCATGGAGAAGAAACAGAAAAGAGAAAAAGAGTCAGACCTCCCTTCACTCAGGCCTGACAGCTGTTAAATCTGCTGTGACAAACACACACACAAAGCATACATGTGTTGTCCACCACTGATCAGAGCTGAAATCAGGCAGTTATCATTGCGCCGTCCCTCTCCACTTGCAATGCCCTGAGACCTTCTCTGTCTCTATCACACACACACGCCTACACACTGACACACACACAACCCAGGCCCCTTGTGGAGATAAATGTGACCGGCAGTCCTCACCCCTGGCAGAGGAAAATCCAATTCTCTTTCACTTTTATCCCTGAGACTAATGTTACTGTCATTGAAGACACCGCCACCAGAGACCAGCCGACTCCGTTTGTGTGTGTGTGTGTGTGTGTGTGTGTGTGTGTGTGTGTGTGTGTGCGCGCTGCAGTGAGATAGTGAATTCATTTAAGGTGATGTATTGCTGTCTTTACCTACAATTTCACTGTAGGCCTTGGTGGTGTTGTTCCTGCCTTTCCATGACAAGCTTTTGACCTTTCCTCCTCTTCTCTGATCACTATACATTTATATTTATGTTCATGGTGTTTTACATTATACATATAAAATACACAGAGCACTACAAAGAAAGAAACAGAGAGAAAGAAAGAAAGAAAGTGTCTTATTTTATAGAAAGCTGCTGAATAAGGAGACTTTGAATTAAAGTAAGATTTCCAGTCCCTATCCTCCTCTTGTGTGCGCTGCCTTTATCTCTCCCCTACGTTTTTTTCCCAGCATCTCTGAGGTCTGATTGGGGAAATGTGACCTATTCATCACAGCTGACATAGCCTGTGTGTTTACAAGCCACAGCCACACACACACATAACATGTAGCCTGTTTGTTTGTTATTGGTGAAGCTCAGCTGTAGGGGGTGTTACTTATAAGGAGCCTGTAAACCAGGGATAACTGCTGTTTTGGGGGTTTGGGTGTGTGTGTGTGTGTTTGATTGCAGGTACTTTGTTAATCATTTGTAAGCCCCACCAGATGCCATGAAGGGGACCATAGTGCACGGGGCCCGTCAGTCAAACACCCCTTCATCGCACACGCGCACACACACTCATGCAGGTGCAGGTGCACTGCGATCTGACCACAACCCCCTTCCCCTTGAGGCTGATTAGTATTCATGAGATCTCAGGAGGCCCCCTTATACACATGCACACACCAACTCATCCACACACACATATTCTAGTGGATTGGTCTATTCTAATTATCTCCTGGCATTTATGGAGAGGGCTGATTAGAAGCTGTCAGTGTGACTGATGACGACATGCAATGTAATCCCCCAGAGAGACTGAAAGGAAGGCTGGTCACAGCTGTGGACTCCACTTCTTCTCTTGTCCTCTTCTCTTAGTTTTGTGTCTCTTTTCCTTGCAATTGTGCTCCAACTAACAGCCGCCCTGCTCTGTGTCTCCGTAGGTAAACCAGTGATGATCATAACAGAGTTCATGGAAAACGGATCTCTGGACACTTTCCTCAAGGTGAGTCACTGCTCAGATGGAAGGAAACCAGCACTCTGATCTGCCCCAAAGATCAGGGCCGCAAGTCTTCACTAAAGCCCTGTGGAAAATTATGCCACAGCTGTAAAGTGTTAAAAATAGTTGAGTTAATTCCCCCAAATTGCTGTACTCACAGACACAATCTTTTGAAAATATATAACAACACCTGATGAAAAGTGTCTTTCATCCCTCAGATCTGGAGAATTTTATCTATAAAGTCCACTGAGGCCTCAAGTTCAGTCTTTCAAGGACTTCATTTAACAAGTATTCTTAAAAATAAATCACACTTTCACAGCTGATGGGGGATTTTGAGGTAGTTAAATCCCATTTTCATACGTATTTATCGCATAAAGAGTGATTGCTGAGGCGTGATTATACATGATACAATGTGTGCAGCTGGGAACAACAGGTCAGACTGTTTGCATTATAAAAAACTGCAGCACATCTTCATTAAATGAAACAAGATTAATTAGACTCTGAGTAAAAAAATGTTCACCCCATAAAGTCCCTGCATGCAGCTCTGTGGATGCCTGATTTGTTGAATGTTCCAGCATTTTATTTCAGATGGTCTCTGCATTAGCCCATAATATTTATTTAAGTCAAGCATTTCACGTGTTTAGAATACACTCAGTTCCTGTTATTTTGAATCTCCTCCCCGTTAATTGTTGTTGCAGTGGAAACAGAGGTTCCTGGGACTTGGAGTTCCAGATACTTTTGGTAGAAATTATAGCTTGATTTAGGAATATGGGCCAAGTTTCTGGATTCATGACCATTATTCTCCATTCACAATCTCAGACACTACACCTTTTCTTTTGTTAGTTTGGAGTGAGTGGAGGTGAGAAACATTCAGTCAGATGCATACCCTTCCAACACTCTGACCACATGCTGTTTGATACCAGGTAACCCAGAGCACAAAATAGCAGCAGACCACTGACAAACAGGCTATTAAACAAAGAAAGTGTATTGGTTTGTGTGCGATATATGTGCCGTCAGGGGACCTGAAGATTAACAGTTCAATTCAAATGAAATGTAATGCCTCTGCAGTCATTTGGTTAAGAGTCAGGGTAGCAAATGAAATAAAAACACCACCTCCACAATGAGATTCAAAACATATTAACACTATTGTGAATGAACAGAGGGAGAAATGTGGTTAGCAGGGATATTCCTGTTGAGATATTTCCATGCAGACTCTGAAAACAAAGAGACTGGTGGAAATAAATGTTTTGTAGAGCAGGTTATGGAACAGAGCTTTGCAAAATTAAGTCAGAAAAAAGTAGTTCTTGCACAAGGTTATTGCTGAAACTCTTTTAGAAAGTTTTTGAAGTACTGCTTTGTTATTGTAGACAACATCAGAGAAGAGCCTGTCACTACATGTGTCATTATCGTGAGTTGATGGTTTTAAAGAATGACCTCATCCAAAAAGTATTTTCTCATATTTGACAGAAGGTTTTGAAGCATCTCTTAAAATGTTATACACACAAGATTGACGGTTCACAATACACTGTGGAATGTGACAAAAGTGTGATTTATGATGTTCGAACACATCACGTAGCATCAAGTGACAAACACTCAGTGAATTGAGATTTGCATACACCTGGATGAGTAGATGGTTGCAGCCCTTAACGTGCGTCACATTTAAAGTCGCACTGATTCATATTCACAGTATTTTGTTAGATTTCACTGCAGAGCTTCAAAGCCGTTAAACCTGCCATAATAGGCCCATCACTAAATAGACGCCAATCCCATCAGCAACACTGAAGCAAAATTAAATTAAACCTGACAAATGAAAAATGGCTAAAGCGTGTCTTGAAACACACACACACACACACACACACACACACACACACNCACACACACACACACACACACACACACACACGGACAACCATCATATACAGAAACATGCATGTTATGTATTACAGTATGTATTATAATGAGGGTCATAGAGAGCTTCTGCAGTGGCTCAATACAATTATAGACTCACTTTTATGGGTTTTACAGCTCATCCGTGCTTCTGGCATCCATATGTCTTTAATTATGCCATCCATTTATCAAGCAGCTCTCCCTAAGAAATAACAAAACCACTCCTCCGTTAGGGAAGCTCTTCCTCTCTTAGTCTCTCTGCCACTATCTTTATCTAGCCTTTCTTTTTCTTTCCAAGTTTTGAGGGACTAACTTTGCTTATATGCCAAGATTTGCCAAAAATAAGACAAATTTTATCATTTGTCTCTATTGAACCTCTCTGCCCCACATTTGTCTCTTCCCCTGCCCTGCCCTGCCCACCCTCCCTCCTCCTTCCTGGCAAGGCGGTTTGGTGGGCAGATTGATAGAGGAAGTCTGTAGGTTTGTTAGACAGTCCAATCAATCAGCATCTCACAAAACCACTGGCTAATTAACTTACTCCACAGCTGCCGAAGGAGAGACAGCAAAAGAACGATAGAGGAAGGGGAGTGCAGGGGCCGCACAGATGCAGAAAGATGAAGGGAGATAGATGGATAAATGGCGACTGAATCAAAGTAATACAGAGTTCTCTCTGTCTGAGACAGAGATTGAGTATAGAGATGGAGAGAACAGAGACAGAGAGAAGGAGAGATGACATAAAGAAGAAAAGGTGAGTGATAACATTTCAATGGGGACCGTTGGCCCAGGGCAGAAATAATTGGCAGGAGAAGGTGAGTTGGACCACCATCGATCAACAGGCCCTGCTCTTTGCCAAAGACAGCTCAAATCTAAAATCCAGTGAGCGCTGCTTGGGCACATGGTCAGTGTTAGTGAGGAGAGTTCTGTCTCTGTCACATCCAATACTCTGCAAGCAGGATTTTTTTGTGATCTGCAATTGATCCTTGGAAGAAGAAATTCATCTTTTGCTTGCCACCCTCCAGAGAGAGGTCAAAGTGCAGAGTTAGCAGAGTTAGCAGGGGCTGGAAGGGATTCAGGGAGACTTAAGAGGCATGGACTGCTGCCATCACAGACACTTGAATCCTGGCTTAAACTTTCACCTCCAGCTGAGGTTGCTGAAAGACCTGGCACTAATCACCATGCCACCAATACTGCAGCTTCATGTCAGCATTTACACTGTGCACTCTGTATTAATTCATCTTTCTCCTTGTCTCTCTGCAGAAACATGACGGCCAGTTCACGGTGATCCAGCTGGTCGGCATGCTGCGCGGTATTGCCTCTGGTATGAAGTACCTGTCAGACATGAGCTACGTTCACAGAGACCTGGCAGCTCGGAACATCCTGGTCAACAGCAACCTGGTGTGTAAGGTGTCGGACTTTGGCCTGAGTCGGGTTCTGGAGGACGACCCAGAGGCTGCCTACACTACAAAGGTGAGACACTCTTTCACAGGTGGCTTCTGTCCCATTGTCTCTGATTACAGATACAAATATGTCCTCTACATTACTGTGCCTGAACCCAAACAAGCTGCTGCATTAAAACCATGTGCATAAATTAAGTTCTTTAAATTTAGAGACCCACTCCGATGGAGGCTCAAAAACAGCCAGTAGCAGTAGAAAAAATATATCAATGAATAATTCATCATAAGCACATTTTTTTTAATTCACTATGAAAATATGGCGGGACAAATTAGAATATGGCGGGCCAAACCAGTCCAGATAACAAATGGGAAATACTGAGTCATGACATACTTTAGTCTATTTAAAATTTTCAACCACTGCCATAAGTGGAGACTTTGAGTCCACCTCACAACTATTATAATTTTGGTCCAACAGCTGTTATTCTTTTATTAGATTAGTTTTGTTAGTTTTTCAGGTGGCCAGGTTATACCAACCTGTCATCTTAGCAGTGAGCAGGCCCAACCCCTGAGATGACAGCTGATCATCATCCATGCTAATTTTGACATTAAATTGCACTTTATTAGGAGCACTGACGTCTCCACAGTGTTTGATACAGTAACTTTCATAACATTAAGGTACATCTCTGGGTTGCAAACAGATATTTCTACATGCCAAACTGGTTTATGTGAAGTTAAAGATAATGTTGACAATTCATGTTGTACTATAACCCTGCCTCTGTTAAGACCATACATTTCAATAAACAAATATACCGTATACACACATGGATGATTAGTGCCGATAGTGTATAATAAATGAGGGAATAAAAACTATGCATGTTGTAAATACCTACAATAACAGTGAGAATGTCACGGTCCATAGGAAAAAGTGAAGTTAGTTAAGTGGATCACTGAGTTCAGGTCATTTAAAGATACAATATGTCAAAGTGCATTACCAGAGGCAGTCTGACATTCATCCAACTTCTCAAGTTTTAACTACAACGGATATGAACCAAAGATTGCTGCACTCTCTCATTACTTTTATAAGTAGAAAATGGTTCATCAGTGACAAAGGTATGGTGGTTTTTTACAGTTGTGTGTATGTGCAGTATAGTCAAACCGAAGTCTTTGATAGCATCACCATCCTCTCACATCCGAGAGAATGAAGAAACTCAAACGTCAGTGACTTAAACCACTATGGAGTAACTCATCTAAAATGCCCACAAGGAGATGGCATTATTCATATTCATAGGAAGTGTCGGGATGTTATTTTTAATATGGCATTAGCATTGCCCTGGGAGGAGTGTATCAGCCGCTGACTGCTCTATTGCAATCGCACACAGCCTTCGACTGATGTCAGGAGACCTAGATGGAGAGCTGCAGGCAAGGAGGAGGAGGGGGGAGAGAAAAGGGAGAGGCCGAGGTGGAGATGAGGAAGAGACGAGGAGAAAGGAGTGGATATCAAATAAGACTGAGATCTAGGGAGGCTGAGAGAGAGAGAATAAGGGAAGGCAGGGTAAGGATCCAGAGAGAGCAGTTAAGAGAAAAGAGAAGATGGTGTAGGGGTGAACAGGGGGCGGCGGAAACAAAAGTACAGTGCTGAGTGACTTGACAGCTTTGTCTTTTATTTGACTTTGACCAAGCAGAGATGGGAAATGCTAGGTGGTGCAGAGGCAGCTGCCGCATGTTAAAAAGCTGAAGCGGGCCCTATAGAGGTACAGCCTGTGGGTAGACAAGAGAGGGAGGGAGAGAGAGGGAGAGAGAGAGAGAGAGAGGCAGTACTGCACTGTCCATTGTGTCTATACAGTGAGCTTTATGAAATCTTTTTGATCTGTGCATCAACAACAAAGGCAGGAGCTGAGTGGAAGAAAAAAAGGAAATTGACGGCAAAAGAAAGTTAAGTGTGAAAATAAACACAGAGGCAAAAGTCACCTTATGTTGTGGGTATCAGAGTGGAGTGCTGTTGTCAAGGTGGTGTATAATCTCACCTCCTCGGTTATGACACCAGGCGTCTTGGTGGGCACAATCTTATAATTTGCTTTGTCAGATCTAACTTTTGATTTACCTCAACACTTGGTGAAAAAAAATAGCAATATAAAACAACCTTTCAATATTTACACTATTACCAACAGGATACAACATCAAGTTCGTATTCAGCATTCCAACAATGTGCTGTGATGTGAACCATTTACAGGGAGGGAAGATCCCCATCAGATGGACGGCTCCGGAGGCTATAGCATACAGGAAGTTCACCTCCGCCAGTGATGTGTGGAGTTACGGCATCGTCATGTGGGAGGTGATCTCATATGGAGAGAGACCCTACTGGGAGATGTCCAACCAGGATGTGAGTCACAAACACATGCCTCATGTCTCAGCTACAGCATTAGCAACATATTTTCCCTCAACCCTTAGAACTCAGCTGTTGACTTTCTATATGTAATTGTAAGATCTCGATCTTACTATATGAACTGCCTTGAGGCCATTCATGTTATAATCTGGCGTTATAAAACTAAATTCAATTAAAATATGATACATTTTCCTGGACATTTATATTTCTCCTTCATGTATTGATTACAGACCTAAATATCCACCTCTATCTCCCAATAGGTTATCAAAGCAATAGATGAGGGCTACCGTCTTCCCGCTCCAATGGACTGTCCTGTGGTGCTGCACCAGCTCATGTTGGACTGCTGGGAGAAGGGACGGAGCGACAGGCCAAAGTTTGGACAGATTGTCACAATCCTCGACAAGCTCATCAGAAACCCTGCCAGCCTCAGGGAGCTCGCCAACAGCTCAGCATGGTCAGTGGTAGAAAGCTATAAATTAAAGCTGACATGCATATAGGCTTGAGATGGGCCAGTTAAACTGTAGGGTGAGACATGCATTGAAGAGGAGATCACTGCTTTAGATCTACTCTGTAAATCTTTTTTGGCTGTTGCAATATTTTCAGTTAAAAAAAAAATTTTGCCAGCAAAAAGATGAATATAGGTTTGTGGCTTGGCATGTCCACATTCAGTTTCAACACTGTGCCTTCCAAGCTGTATGACTGTTTTACATCCAGAGTATCATTATTTTCATATTTACATTTTACACTCCTGGCATTCAGCTGATGTCCTGAAACAGACCAGCAAACACAAGATATTTCTGTCTGTTTTAGAGGAGACTGAAGACACTTGAAACAGAAAATCTTTCCACTATACACAGAATTAACAATGTGACAAGGAAGAAGATTCTCATACAGAATACTTGCAGACATACATGGCTCTAAATAAAGCATAAACAACACTGTATGTAAGAGCATATTTATTATAAATGCAGATGTAATTAGTTCTGTGTATGCACAGAACTAATCAAGTTTCAGCATGAAAATGAATAAACACAGAGATCATTTATAACAATTTCTAACAAAAGGAACCAAGCAAAAGGGGGGATGGGGGGAGGTCATTAATCATACTTACCCACTAATGGGAAGGTTTAAAGTTTAGGGTTTACTTTTTGTTTTTTTATTGTGGGTTTTGAGTCTGTCATGCTGCTGCTGTTGGAGAATTTAAACTATTCTGTCCAAATCCACATCCAGAACCATGAACAAGCATTAACTGTCTCCTCGTTTTTTCCTGACAATTTTCTTTTTATTATTGCGAAAACTCTGATTTGAACAGTTCCAAGGACAAATGGCTGACATCAGCACAAGTTGGAAACTGTTATTCAGCCACTCAACAGGCTGAAACGTGATTGAGACGTGAGTGTGACTTTGTATCCCAGCAGGGAGGACCTGTCCACCCCAGATTTCAGCGTGACCACAGTGGATGAGTGGTTGGAGGCCCTCAAGATGGGCCAGTATAAGGATAACTTTTCCAGTGCTGGATATGTCAGCTTGGACTCAATCCTCTACATCAGTGTCAGGTACAGGCGCTTGAGTTTAATACTTGTTGAATCAAACACTGAAAAGGTCAAGATTGCCAGTAAAAGATGTTGTTATATTCCACTTGAGTGTCATTTACAATTGAAGTGTCTTAGACAAAGAAATCTCAGCAGCTGCTTAACATTTGAAGGAAATGTAGANATATGACTGTAAGGCCATCTCTGTGTAAGACTCGACTGACACTGCTTGTCCTGGAAGGGATTGTGTGTGTATATGAGTGTGTGTGGGTGTGTGTGTGTGTGTGTTTGTGTGTGTGTGTGTGTGTGTGTGTGTGCCAATGCCAATTTTTTCTTTTCTTCCTTGTAGTGAATTGGCTAAGATGGGCGTAAATCTGGCTGGCCACCAGAAGAAGATTTTATCCAGTGTCCAGAGTCTGCAGACCCAGGGGACGCACGTCCAAGTATAACAGCTTCCACATAAACACACAATGAGACAGAGCCAAAATGGATGCTCCTGTGACAAGTTTCACCCCCTGAAATGGAGTTGCAATGGATACTCTGTGCTTAGGCCTCCATTGATTTTGAGACACACTGAGATGGAGACAACATGGACGCTTGACTCCATCACATTTTCGCAGTTTTCACCATTCTTCCCATCCTCGATGGGCACCACCAGCTTTAGCACTCAAGAGTCCCAGCAACACAGCCACCATTACGGAGCAACTGAGAGACACGACAACATGTAGAGCATCCCAGATCATTTCACATCATAACAGCTCAAGAAAAGTAAAAAAAACAGAAGATTTTTAACAAAAGAAATGACAAAAACAAATTAGAATATAATTATCATCACTGTCTGTGAGGTGTACAGTTGTTTTTTACTGTCATTTTGTTTGTTTTGAGTTTTCACTCAAACTTGAAGAGTTTAAACTGGGTCAGAAGATATGTATATGTGTAGATATATGTTTATATGGGCTGTGTGTCCCACAACTGTAGAGATGGACCTAACGTTTGTATTGGTGGTGAGGTTTATATCACTCAACCTTAATCTGAGTTATTACCTGATATATGTATGGCCCCTTCCATTGCTCTCTGTACATAGAACGCCAGTGAACAAACAGAGATTCTGAATGGCATGAATGTGTGAGGGGGATGGAAGAAGTGGACCTTTAGAGATAGAGAGAGATGTAGATTTTGCTAGTTCATGTAGGATGGAAGTATTAAAGTATTTGGCCAGAAAAAGGGCTTCCCTGGCGACTGCTCTCAGACTCACTTCCATAGCAACTAGACCCAGGGCACTTTTGCTTGTCTGCTTGCACTTATGATGTAACTCAGTGCAAAGTCAGAGCAGAAACCGCTGAAGGTGAAGATAGCAGAGACTTTTTTTTTCACTCTTCCATAACTGTCTATTCCAAACAACATTGTCTGTTCAAGTGAGCACAGTATGATGTTGCTTAGCATAATCCAGCATAAGAGTTTGCCTTCCCATGTTTCATGTGTGTGAAATACATGGTGTTTTGTGGAAAGCAAAGGTGACGCAAAGGTCATGAAAGATTTGACACTGTTGAGAAGGTTAACTTGTTTTTCAAGTGTCGTGTTATGTACAGTAAATCGAGATGTTCATCTGGGCACTCTCCCTATTCTCTTTACTTTCATCGGCTCCCATGGCTGGATGGTTGCACCAATCACAGTAATTACAGTGTTTTGTCCCAAGTAGTTTGACAGATGAAAAGGAGCACTGAAACCTTTTTAGCAAGATGGAATATATGTTCTTGTTATCAGTCAGGTCAACTTATTTAAAGCATCCCTTGTTTCAAACCAACACCCTTAAGTAAATCTACAAATCACAATGTTTACAGCAAAAAAGGAAACACATTGATCTGATGTTTTTTCCCTGGCAGAAGGAAACAGATGCTTGTCACATTAATTACAAGTTTAGATATGATGGGACCCGTTTTGTCGTCACTGCATTAATGGCACTGAACCTGCTTTGAGTGTAATCCCAAACCCAGTTTTAATATATGTGGTACTCTATAGGACCAACAGTGACATAAAAGTACAGTATATATGATTGTATCATAGTGTAAAATATGTACAGTGTTGATTTCCAATGTTAGAATGTTTGTAATGATAACGATGATGAACTATGATGTACTTTTATTGTGAAAAAGAGATTTCTGAAGTACTTGTTCAGCGGCAGGTCGTATGGGAGAAAACGAAGTAAGGTTATTTGTTGCTCTGAACAAAGGAATGTAGCATGGTGCAAAGCTTCAGCTTTGATTGACAGGTGACAGTGACTGCAGTTTATTCCATAGAGTTAGAATGAGTAGAATGAACTCTTTTCTTGATACATTGGCATATCCCACCTCAAACCATAATTAAACGCACATTGTAAGCCTTTTTTGAAAATGCCTTGTTGGACGAGGAGGGATGGGGCAGTTTGAGGTTGAGATAAAAGAAATCCTCACATCAGATTTTGGAACAAACTGAATATTCATGAACCCACCTCCCCCAAAACATCAATTGTTTAACTTTAGAGGGTAATGTCATTTTTTTTGCCTGTTCTGGATTCTAGAAGGTTAGCCGGAGTGCTTCTCTTTATTCAATAGGCATACAATATGCTTCACAAACACTTTGGCTAGCACTCTTTATCTAAACCCTAATAAGTTGTAAAAGAGAAACCCATTATTAGAAGAAGTAATTACACTGTACTACAAGGCCAATGCAGTTTCTAATTCCATTTCCTCTATGTGGATTGTCAGTTGGTGAGGATATTAACATTTTTCCTAGGACATGCAGCTTTAGCCTCGATCTTTTAGTAAAATATCCTGTATAAAACCATTGAGTGCATATTTAGTATTGTCTTTTTCTAAGATTTTGAGATTAGCCAATTAGAAATATGGATAAAACCATAGCTGAGCTTAAGTAGCTATGTGTTGAAGCTGATAAATGTGCTAGCAACAGTATTTCAGTTGAAAATCAGCTGTTATTGACTGTAATTTTGGTAAATCTGTCACAAGAAAAGTTACCAAAACATTTACCTCTACTAGTATGGAAAGTGTGTTTGAATATAAAAAGCGTACAGATACATTTACAGCTAAAAACACCTAATTTAGAGAACAAAATGTTCATCCCAAACCTTTTTGCTGTTTTGCAAAATAAACCACAGGTGAATATACAATTCAGACAGTGTGAAATTGTTCATTCTGCTCTTGCTAACTCTATGATTTCACTCTAGCGGATAACCTTTGCCCGCTGGCCTTTTAGATGCCTTATTTACTGAGCTATTGTTCTTTTCTGTTGCCCTATGGAGGCGATATTAAGAGTAAAGTGTATGTCCAGGTAGTATTTAACTGTGTTCTTAAGATGACCTCACATCAACACCCTGGTTTTGTAACATCCCATAACCCCCCATTGAGACCCCCTCCAACCGCACCTTCACTCTCTACGCAGATGAAAGTCATTTTGTACTAAAAATATAATAAATCTAAAAGCTGTTCACCAGTCAAGTGGAAAGAGAAAATGGCAATATTGTCCTTATTTATTTGAGTAACAATATAATCAGTGATGAATGTGATTGGATTTCTTTTGTTTGCATAATTGTGTTGATGTAAAAAATTCCTCATTCAAAGTCAAGGTTAGAAAGAGATAAAGTATCGTCCAAAAAAATGGGTTAATCGTTTTTTTCAAGCTTGTTCAACACTTTCAATTGAGAAATATTAAGAATACAATAGTCAGACCCACACTTTCAAAATCGCAATTTGTTCACCCTCTAAATATGTGGGTTGTTCAGCTTGATCTGAAATATGACATCTGTCCTCCATTTGCCCCCCAGGTCTATAGTGTCAATGTTCAAGAGTGATTCTCATTTGGGACTTTCAGCTCTCTGTCTCTTTCTCTACTCCACTCTCTCTTTCTTTGGCCACCGTACAGTGCTTACTTGTTCCCATGCCAGTCTCCTCTGCGTTGCTTGTTGTAAAGGGTGTAGGCATTCTAATGTCTTTCATGTCGCTGTAATAAATATGCTAATATTTCTAATTTCTCACCTGACGCCTGCAGTGTCCTTTTCTCCTCACACATTCTCTGCGCCTTTTTCTTTCGATCTCTCTCACACATATCAGAAGTAAATTTATTTCCCTGCACAATTCCACAGTAAAATTATGCTGGAACTTAGAGAATATTATGTTTTAAAATTGAAAGCTCTTTGTTTTTAATGCCGCCTGTAACAAAGCCTGAAGTTAGCGATTTTTGTTTAGGTGAGCATCTGACCAGTGTTGCAGAAAACCAGTGACTGATTGGAAAATTCAAGCGTAGTCTCATGTGTCCTCAGCTCTGCCTCGATGCTGGCTGTGCTGGTGAAATTCCTATCATGACATTCTTGAATGGCAAAATATGGCCAGCCTGAAACCACATTTTCATCATTAGTGTGTTTGTGTGTGTGTGTGTGTGTGTGTGTGTGTGTGTGTGTGTGTGGTGTGTATGTTCCTTACCAAGAGATAATTCTCTCTGGGGAGAGGGAAGGTCAATGACTCCTGGCCTTGGTTAACCCCTTAATGCACTGGCCCAGTTGCTGTCACTCTATGTTACTGCCATTACACCTCATTTAGCCCATCATATTAGGTTCCATATTCCCCTATCGCTCGCTACCGCTCCCTCCGTTTCTTTCTTTCTCACAGACAAACACACACATACACACACACACACACACACACAACTCTGGGCTGTTCTCCATTTCCTCAGTATCTATCTCTTTCCATTGCCGTTCTCTTAATCTTTCTGCTGGCCTTGTGCACCCCCATGTTTTCTTCCTCCCCTTTTCTATCAATCCTGTGCAGACAGAGGTTGTGGCTAGTCCTCTGACCTCGAATACCCCATTATCTCCCTCTTTCTAATTTCCCCTACCTCTGTCCATCCATCCATCCATCCGAAGATATTCTCCACATGCAGCACTCTTTTTTTAAGGTCCATTGCTTCTTTCTTTCCCACTGCTACCACCACTGGGCTTCACTTCACTATTAAAGGCCAATCCATAACTTTGGGCTTTTGTCTCCAGGTGTCTCAACAGGGAGAATGTCATCTCGCATATTTCCTCTTGATAACATGGAGGCGACCGAGAGCCAAAGGCTTAGGCGATTGATTCATCATGTAGCTGCTATTGGCATCATGTGAAAAGGTCAGGAGTCCCTATGGAGAACACTTTAAAAGGCCATTGGTGACTGATGAGCCTGTCATGTTTGTATCACATACATGCACAAGCACACTCTCACTCTTTCTCTGACGTTTTCTCTGTTCCTTGCTCTCTGCTTTCTCTCTCTGTGACACACACATTCACACTCCCGTGGGAATGGTAATTGGGCCCCTCTGTCATGCTGTCAGGTGTGGGTTTGAGTGTCCCCTCATGTGCAACAGCGGACATTAAAATAACACAAGAGACCAAACTGCCACTGTGACCTCTGCAGGGGTTAGCCATGTGTGTATGTGTGTGTGTTGAAGTGTGTTTGTTCACAGATGTGTGACTGTTACTTCCATGTGTATGTAATGCTTGTGGGAGCAAAACTGATGCTCATGGGTAAGTGAGTAAACAGTGTGAGTATTAAAAAGGAGACAAACGGAGAGAAGTCGATAAAATCTCAACCAGAGGTAAAATTTCATCAGTCATTGGTTAAATTTGCTGGAGTTCCTGCTTTGTCGCTCTTGATTGCATTGCGTGTCCTTGCTAATCAAATATGGCCAAGTTCAGACAGGCTCAGTGTTTCTGAGTACACACACACACATCAGTAGTCTTCTGTCTCATGAGGTTTTAGTTTGCTATCAAAGCGATTTCCTGTCTCAAATTTTCATCAGTAATCAAAGTTCCTGATTGAATTTGAAAAGTGAGCCAGTCTCTATAAATCACATTACATGCCTCACTCCCATCATGCCTGCCCTCATCAGCCACAGGAATGAGACGCCACCCTGGGTGTACGGCTGTGTCAGGGTCTCTCTCTGTGTGAGTGTGTGTTGAGTTTGCTCTGGATCTGGAAAATGGATGTTTGCAGAGGTGTGATTTGATCCACGCAGCTTTTTTATTGGGGTAGATGATAGATAAATGGTGGAGGACTGGTAAAATAACAGTAGAGATAATACATAGGGGTCATTGTAGGTGGAAAAAGTTTGTAATTTATTTTAGTGTCAAGTGAATATCAATATTTTGTAATATGTTTTAGTGTGGAGTTTTTATTTGAACTGTGTGACTCAAGTCAGTGTTAAATCAAGTGAATTTCTTCAAATAAACTGTTGGATGCCTTTTTTGTTGGACCAGATCCAATCCAAAAATTTTTTTCCTATTTTTTTCCTTTTCTTTTACATATGTGAAATGAACATGGCACTTTTGTGTCGATTTATCATTTGCTGTCTACATAAAAATAAAATTATAATTTTTTTTCACAGTATCAGATTATTTTGCATTGCATTACATCCCACATTGTTTATTTTAAACAGTGTTGATCACACTGCATCGTAATAAGGTGGAATCATATTTTATAGTATTAGCATTCGCATTATCTGTATGTTTAATGTATGAGATCATTACAAATGCATTGAGACGTATATCACATTGGCTTCAGTGGTGGAGATGCACATCCCTACTCTCATGATAATACATTTGTGCACTGATCAGTGTCACAAACAGTTGTGTAACAAATACAAAAAGAGAGAAGGGGGCAGAAGTATGATGCCTGGCTCTTCTCTCACCTTCACACGGCTGGTCAATCTGGTGAGTGGTGAGTGGATGTTTAGACATTTAGTTTCAGAATTGGTCAGAAATAGACAAGTGAAACTCTGGGCAGGAGGAATGAGGGAGTTCCAAAGATATCCGTCCATCTTACGTGCAGCAGGGCTCTTCTTTTTCCAAAAATAAAGTTCGAACGAATTTGACATGCCAATTAAATCATTCAAATGTATTCTTACTTTACTGATAGGTCAAGTGGAGATGCAATAGATCAAGCTAATAGTGAGCGCCCTCTGTTGGATTGTGAGGCAAAGTATGGAGATGGAGACTGTCTGACGTGCTTCTAGACAGCATATTTAGAATTCAAACAGCCCCCCCAGATCAAATTAATGTTCGAATTTGAAATAAAAGTGACAGTGCAGTTACTGAAGTAATGAGAAATAAATCTAACAAGATAATGACTGATAACAGGCTGTGTCCAGGGGCCCATTGTCTCATAATCCATTCATAATTTTTGGCACCAATAGAGCTAAAAACTCTAATATTTCTAAATGTTGTCGTCCCAAGTTAAATATGTAATCAGGCAAAGTGAACACTGCCCGTAATGGACAGCAGTCACCAGCTAGAATCAGTAATAGATTTGAAAATGGAGCACAAAGTGACAGAGTATGAACAGAGGAGAGAGAGAGGAGAACAAATAGTGTTTTGAGACTGGGGGGAAAAAAAGGTGAAGAAAAATTTGGGATGGTTTTGGAGGAACTGAGATAATATTGACCACATAATCCCTTACAGATGTGGAAATCACAGTTTAATGCTTGGCAGACATGACATGCTGAACTGCTATGGGATGACTCAAGAGGGACTCTGACCAAAGACAAACTCACTCTCAGTCAAGTCTGCTATTGATGGAGTAAAGACGATGAAAATCCAAATTTAGAGCAATCGTAGGATAGCCACATCTGCTAGACTATAAATTACACACACAGATGCAAACTGGCTGAACAGCTTCACAAGGCTCAGTGAGTCATATGAAGTGCTAGTTTGAATAGAAGCATTTTCTTGAAGACTAATAATTTAGCTAATGTCTTCTTATGCAGAAATATACAGGAAGACATCTACCTTTCTGTAAAATCCCGGTGTGACATCTGATTGCATGATCTCCCGTTGCCTGTAGCCTGTGTGTAGATGTGTACGTAAGATGGAGAGACACGAGTGTTCCTTTGTACATGCTATGTGTTTAAGTGTGTCGTCTTTCCTGCATAATCAAATTCAGGTCTTCAAGTAGCCATCAATCAAGCTTTGATGTTTCAGGGAAGAGTCAAGAAACCACAGCAACCCCCTCCACGAGCCGAGGCCACGCAGCTCTAGTGCCGCCGGATACATGGGAAATGCTTTCTAAACCAAGAGTAGGTGCCTGTAACTAACTATGTACATTATGTAGCTCATCAGAAATGTGCTCTGTAATGCCTCGGCTGGTGAAAATAGATGTTTCTGTGATTTTCATCCGCACAGTTTTCTGTGACATCAAAGCATCTAAACAATATGGTTGTAGTCTGCACATTGCTCTTCATACTCACACTCCTTTCATCATCCTGTTCTCTCTCTTCTTCATTTGCCACAGTACTTAACTATTGCTTTATTTTTCCTAAGGAGGACACAAAGCCATGAGGTTGCATTCACAACACCATGATGCGTGTAGGAGAGTGTTGGGGATATAAATACAGATGCAGTCTATAAAATCTAATATGGTTTTGTTGGAATAACTGGGCTATTGGAATTTCTGTATTTATATACAGTAGTAACGAAAAATATACCTCTCACTACCAGCCACACACACACACACACACACACACACACACTATGACAACAGTTTTAAAATCAGTTCCTTAGCCAGAGCCAAAAACAAAGGTGTGTGATTGGAGATATAAAACATCAGCGGGAATCTTTTTGTTTAGAATCAACTTAAGAAATCGTCAAAATGTATTTATAGCAAACAATTCCCAAAACTTCACCACCTATATGTACTCCATGTTTAAAACAAAATAAAAGCATACCCATAATAATTTCTTTGCCAAAAACGATTTGAACCATTATTATCTTTGAGAAAAAGACCCATTTCTTTATCGTAGCTATGAAACCTCAGGATAAAAGGTTTGGCAGGACACTATCACATGATATTCCAAAGATAATGGCTGAAGTTTTTTCCAGGGTTTTGAATGGAAAGCACAGAACATTTTAGTTGTGGGTTGGAGTGACATTAAAAAGGACGGTCTCACTAGAGCATCATTATACTGAGAGAAACTGCCACTGTAGGTTAAACACTTGAAGA